TTGACTACTTTAAAAATAAAAACTTTTCATTTAATGAAAGATGCCATAAAAAGATAAGCTAAAGAGGGAGAAATTCTTTTTTTTTTTTTTTTTTTTTAAAGATTTTATTTATTTACTTGAGACAGAATGAGAGAGAGAGAGCACATGAGAGGGAGGAGGGTCAGAGGGAGAAGCAGACTCCGTGCTGAGCAGGGAGCCCGATGCGGGACTCGATCCCGGGACTCCGGGATCATGACCTGAGCCGAAGGCAGTCGCTTAACCAACTGAGCCACCCAGGCGCCCCAAGAGGGAGAAATTCTTTGTAATGCAAGTAATAGATGAAGAGATAATATCAAATTATATTTAAAAATTAAAGATCTTGTAAAATGAGAAAAAGACAAATCGAAGATATGAATAAGGAGTTCACAGGAGAAATCTAAATTGTCAATAGTCTTAAAAAAGCGAGGCTCAACTATGATGGTATAATGAAAATGCAGATCAAAACAACAGTGACATGTGATGTGTGTCGTTTCACGATCCAGCTGGCCAAGACCGCAGTCTGCTGACACCAGGTTTTGGCCAGGGATGTGGAGCGGCAGGCCCTGCCCGCAGTGCCCGAGAGGTCTGGGTCATCAGGCAAGCTGAGGACCCCTGCACTGCAGATGCACAGACACTGTGACCCAGAAGCTCAGTCTCGTGCATATGCACGTTTAATACATACGTGCACCTTGTGTGTCTGTCCCTGCAAGCATGTTCACCATAGCGTCAGTTGTAATGGTGAAAACATTGGAGACAGGCTTTATCTCCAGTGGAGAATGGATAAAAATTGCAGGATTTTTATATATTAGATTGTTACAGAACATTAAAAGTGAGCTAAAGTTACATGTCTGAATATGGAGCATCTCTAAAACAGAACTTTGAATGGAAAAAAACCAAGTTCCTGAGGAGAGAGTAGGTAAGGTGGCATTGATGAAGAAGCCGAGAGCCCTGAGCTTTGGACCTTGATCACCACCGTTCAAGATGGTGGCTGCCTGCGGGGAGAGGCCAGTGGCGCAGGGCATAGTAGACTCCTCTCAAGTCCCCGTGTCCCCGTCGTGCCTGTGTGCACCTGCCCTAACCCCACCCCCACCCCCCAGGTAACCGCTGCTCTGGATTTTATGTTTATGATTTTATTCCTTTTTTGGTATAATCTTAACATCACATTTTTTTTATTTCAGCTCCTTTTGATTAGGTTTTTGTTACCTTGGCCAAGTGAAGTTTTAGGAACTTCCTCTTTCTCAGCCTTGTGAAGTCCATCTAGATTTGGGGTGTGATTTATTTTCCATGCTGTATCATGTGGCATCATAGGAGTATTTCAGATTTTATTGACCCACCTTCGTGTGGTGAAGCGTTAGTTCATCAGTGTGTGTGGAAGTCTGGCTGCACTCATGCGCACACCTCCGGAGGGCTCCCGCTTCTCGGAGGGTGAGCGCCACGTGTCCCCTCACTGAATATGGGAACTTGTAGGACACACCCGTCTCCCCGTCGCGTCTGTCCTCCGAGCTCAGGGGTCGCTGCAGATCTGGACGAGGGGACAGGGTCCAGAGAGTGGACTCGCGGCCGACTGCCTGTCCCGATGCGTGTCTTGGGGGCTGCGCAAGTGAAACCTCTCTGGCATCTAAGCCTCGAGCTCAGACAGGGGCGTGTGTGCAGCTTCCCTTCTTACCGGCAGCTTCTCCTGCTCAGTGCTCACCACATACTCATGGGTGAGGCCCCCGCCATCACACCCGCATCCTCCACACTGTCTGCCCGCGCGGGACAGAGTGGGCCACGGACCAGGGGCTACATCACACTCATTCATTCATTCACGTCTGTTAGTTCTAACTTAGAACAACTAAGTTGTTCTGATTTGTTGCAAACTTGAAGATTATCGACAGTATCTCATGAAATTCTTTTTCCTGTTCTTAGATCCACTTATTTTTTTTTAAGATTTTATTTATTTATTTGAGAGAGAGAGAGCGTGTGCACAAGCAGGGGGTGCGGCAGAGGCAGAGGGAGAAGCAGACTCACCACTGAGCAGGGAGCCCGACGTGGGGCTCGATCCCAGGACCCTGGGATCATGACCTGAGCCGAAGGCAGATGCTTAACTGATTGAGCCACCCAGGTGCCCCCATTTATTTTATTTTTAAAAAATAACAAGCAGGAAAAAAAAATAATAATAACAAGCAGAAGACACTTTGTAGAGACAGCAAAGTATGCCATCTTGGAGGAGCAGGGGCTCACTGAGGCCTGCGTGGCATTTGTGAAGTGCAGCCGCCCTTCATGGCGGGTAGGGAATTGCTGTGCCGGAATCCCGGCCCGCATGCCCCTGCCCAGTGCAGACCCCGCAGCTGGCTTCCTGGGCCCCCCCACTCCCCCCCACCAGCCCTGTCCCCTGGGAGAGGCGGCCCTGGGTCCGGTCCTGGTGACTGCTGGAGGGGCTGTCGGGAGGCAGCTGCCAACACTGATGAGGACGTGGGGCACCTGCTACCCCTTGGGGTCACACTTGAGATGCTTTTCCGTGGTGTCTGCAGAAGAATGTGTCCCCAAGAGCCTCTCACTGCTGTCGCTCTGACTTGAGCCTTAGGAATGTTCTTTGTTTTGTGGAAAAGTGAGCCGGATGCAGCAGGCCTGCAGGTTAATGATATGTACTTTGGCTGCTAACCTAATTGCAGGGATGATAAATTACTGGCCCTCTGATTTGTTTGCAAATAAAAACTGATGGAGGCCTTTCTAACGAGTCACTTTGTGTTCTTTCCTGGTTGGCTTCTGCCCAGGCCCAAGTCACCCCCAGCCCAGTGCGGGCAGCTCCTCAGGAGAAGTGGGAGCACTCGACAAATACACGTCTTCCCTGGGGCTGTGTAGGGGTGGTCTGCTCCCATCATCACCCTGAGTCAGCTGTGTTTGGGGGGTGGGGGGCTTCCTGGCATCTGAGTTCAAGTCCAGAAAGCAAATGAATGACCAGATGCATCACCTTAGCAGAGTTCAGTTGAGCTGAGAACTGGTTTTATAGTATTTGCACCCCGAGCCAGCTGCTGAGCCGTGGCGGGGGTGGGGGGGTGGGTTCCATCCATTGTGGGCAGCGGTTCATGCAGACACCCAGGTGGATGGCAGCCAGGAGTGCTGGGCCATACCCTGTCTCAGAGACACATCACTTGCCACGTTCCGTTGAACACAGGAGCTGGGGTCTCCGTTCCTGGTCCACCCCCATCCCGCACTGCAGAGCCCCGGGGGCTTGGCTCTCTGGGGGAGACGCTGGCTCCCCACCCCCACCCCGCACCGTCCGGCTGTGCTTTGAGGCCAGCCCCACGCGGGCGGATCTGAGGCTCCCACCTTGCGTTTGCTGCTCTGACAAAAGAACAGCATCGACTGGATTGCATCTCACTAATGGAGAATTAATTGCCACCCTTGACAGTTAGGTTTATAAATATGTAAAAAGTATTTTAATTGTTTTTAGTAAAACAGGCAAGCAGTCAATATTCTCAGACGTGACGAGCACAGTGCTGACAGGTGCTGTGGTCAGAAGGCCCGGTGAGCGCAGGGCTCCCGTCCGCAGGCCTGGGTGTGCTTTTTTGTGGACGTTGCCGTGTCCTGTGACAGATGCATGCCCTAAACCATATTGATAGAGTAGGTTAAACATTGAAAAAGTTAGCTTGAACTTTGACTTTAAATATTCATTAGAGCTAATTATGGATTTTCTGACTCCATGAATTAGAGTTTCTATACCTGCATTGGCAATTTGTTTTCCATTTATTTATTATAAACTTCTTAATACTGTATTGGCTTTATCATGCTTAACAAGGCAGTAGTACAGGTTTGCCACGACATTTATTTACTGACACTTTCTCAGAGTGCCCTTTCCACCTGAATCAGATGCAGCACAGCCCGTCAGAGGCTCATGTCCACGGAGTAGCCGCTGCTGGAGCTCTGTCTCCCCAGGTCCCTTGTGGGGGTGACCAGGTTCAGCAAAAGAATAAAATATATGTATATAGACACATACATATCTATGTATGTACATGAATACACATTCAAACTGTGTGTGCACATGTATGCATGTAAATGTACATGCACGCACACACACCAGAGACAAACGCATACACACATGCATGTGCATGCACATACACATGGATATTCATATGTATATCTACACGGGTATATACATACACACATACACAGATGCATAGACGCACATGCATGTGCACACAGATAAATGCACATACACGTGCATTGCACACATACAGACGTAGACAGAGATATACACACATGGACAAACAAGTACATATATTACATGCACACACGTACATATACACGCATGCATATACACACACGTACAGAGATACACACATGGACACACGTATGGCTATTACAGGCACGTGAATACATGTGCGTGGTTATACACACATACACACGTACGCGCACACACACATTACACCCACTCACACAGGAATGCACGTATCCATCTATATGTTCACAGGCACATAAAAAACACCAAGTTGGAATTCAGATAAACAGCAGGTAACTTTAGTGCCAGGCGTCCCGGGCAGCCCTCCTCTGGTGGTCACCACGCGCCCCTCGTCTGGCCTCTGCAGCTTTGCCCTTCCTGACTGGACCCCGATGCCCAGAACCGTCCGCCCGTGGCTGGGGCGGGGGCCTGGCGGCTCTGGGGGCGGTGGTTTTGCAGCCCCATGGGGAGGAGGAGGACGCGGTGGGCAGAGAAGGCAGGCGTGGGGTGCAGCCCGAGCGAGGCCGGAGCCAGGCGCTGAGCCCTTCCCGCCGGACCCCGCCGCCCGCAGCCCAGGGCAGGCGGCTGGAGTGCGCGCCCCGGCCGGGCGAAGGGCCTATCTGGGGGGACAGGTGTGGCTCACGGCTCATCCCAGGGACCGTGAGTAGGCCCTGAGGAGTGAGCTCTCGTCTCCGCAAGAGCGTGTGGTTCCTCCCTTAAAGCCGCGCTCAAACTGCCCCCAGTGCTGGTCTCTCACTCGGTTTCTCTTTTTGCTCTGCAGGCATTAGGAAGCTTTTATTTTCTTCATGAGTCCTTAAAAAACATCTACCAGTTTGACTTTAAAGGTAAGACCTTTCTGGGCTCCCCCGCCCGGCGTCCCTGTGAGAGGGTCTCAGCCACTAACCAGGGGCCTTCGTGCAAACCTGGTGCTCAAGGCCCTCTGGATTCCAGGGGCATTCCTGACCGGGACCCCGCCCCCGGACCCCGCCCACCCAGGACCCCGGACCCCGCCCACCCAGGGCCCCGGACCCCGCCCCTCCAGGGACCCTGCCCCCGCCCTGACCGGGACCCCGCCCTCGCCCCGCCCCGGACCCCGCCCACCCAGGACCCCAGACCCCGCCCCTCCAGGGGCCCCGCCCCCGCCCTGACCGGGACCCCCGCCCCCGGACCCCGCCCCGGACCCCGCCCACCCAGGACCCCGGACCCCGCCCCTCCAGGGACCCTGCCCCCGCCCTGACCGGGACCCCGCCCTCGCCCCGCCCCGGACCCCGCCCACCCAGGACCCCAGACCCCGCCCCTCCAGGGGCCCCGCCCCCCGCCCTGACCGGGACCCCGCCCTCGCCCCGCCCCCGGACCCCGCCCCGGACCCCGCCCACCCAGGGCCCCGGACCCCGCCCCTCCAGGGACCCTGCCCCCGCCCTGACCGGGACCCCGCCCTCGCCCCCCCCCCCCGAACCCGCCCCGGACCGCGCCCGGCCAGGACTCCAGACCCCGCCCCGCCTCAGACCCGCCCCCGCCCCGCCCGGGACCCCTCCCCGGGCCCCACCCACCCAGGACCCCAGACCCCGCCCCGCCCGGGACCCCGCCCCCGCCCCGCCCGGGACCCCGCCCCGGACCCCGCCCGCCCAGGACCCCAGACCCCGCCCCGCCCGGGACCCCGCCCCGCCCGGCATCCCGCTCCCCGCCTGCTCCCAGGGCGGGCCGGCTGGGGACCCTGGCTCTCCTACAGCGCAGTGCGGGGCGGGGGGGCAAGGATGGGCCTCGTGTCTGTGTCAAATGGGAGAAAATGAAGAGCAGCGCGGGAGGGGGCGTCTTTAAAATGAGCCGACGTTGGCGGGGGAGTGAAAAGTGCCCCGCGTTTCTGGGGCGCGCGTGCTGCGCGGAGGAGGTTCGTTCTGAGCTCCTGAAGGCGCGGCCTCGCGTCTGCGTCTCCGCACAGTCCGCCTGCCGCACCTGCTCGCACGCGAGTCCCCTGACCGCACGTGGGCTCCTGAGCCAGATCCCAGTAATTTGAGGTGTCACCGAAGTCGTAATAACTGTGGACGGCAGCTAATTATGTCAGGTTGCTCAGATTCATTATCTTTGCTCGCTTAGGAGACAGATCACCTCTTGGGAGATGCAGAGGCAGAGTCTTCCCTAAGCGGCTACTTGAGTAGTGATTTCATCCGTGTCAGGAACAGGACTCCAGCCAGCAGGATGATTCTTCATTGGCCGTGTTGCTGAGGATTCTTTGCACAGTGTTAAACGCAAGCACGGGGCTTTCCCACCGAGGAACGTGCTTTGAGTAGCCTTGCAACCCTGGCGAGAGACAGGCCAGAGGCCACGGTCCCCACGATGTTAACAGACCCCGGACGCCCCGGGCCGTGTTCTCCAGCAGCAGGGCTGTGGGTGAGAGGGAGCAGAGGGTAGGCGCTCAGACCCCGCGCGCTCCAGGTGGGGCTGGAAGCAGAACGGTGTGAGGCCTCTCATGAGCCTGTTCTTCGAGCTTAGGCACAGAGCCGGTCTGCTGACCTTTTCCCTTCGAGTCACCGGTTCCAAACACATTTTACCGCTAGCTCAGATCGGTCATAACGTACCCCGCTAGCCCGGGGTTTCTTTGGAGCTGTACTTGGGATGTACCTTTGCCTCCAGCAAACCTTCCGAGGGGCCCCCGTGTTGCCAGTGATGAGAGTGGAGACGGTGGTGGTGGTCGCGCGAGGGGTGTGTGCTGTTTCTGGGGACACGCCAGCGGCTGGACGCGTCATCAGCACCCACAGCACAAGAGCAGGGCGCAGGCCCGGCAGGTCTCGGGAGCAGGAGCCCCGCTCTTCTTGCCTCCTCCTTATGCTTCCACCTAAGTTACAGCAGAAACAGTCTCAAATTTGTGAAAAGCTTGAATAAACTTTTTAAGAATAGCCTGAATTTAGTACCCAGTTAGAAATTTGAGGACTCCCAGAAGGTGTGGATGAAGAGGGGTGAAAGGGACGTGAGTTTCTGGTCCGACACCTGAAGAGCGTGGATGGTGCTGAGCAAACGGAGCAGGGCGAGTCCCTCCGATCCCTCAGAGAAGCGAGGCCACAGGGCTGGTGCTGCCGCCACCCTGGAGGGACAGGCAGGCAGACCCTGAGAGCCACAGCTTCCGGGAGCCAGTGCAGGTGGGAGCCGCTGGGAGGGGCGTGCAAAGCTGGAGGCTTGCGAGAGCTGCCCCTTGCCCCCCCCCCCCCACCACTCTTTGGTGAACTTTGGCTGTAGGAGCCCCACCATACTGTTACGGTGAAGATCAGAGAAAAACCCCCTCGTGCTTCTGGCAGGCGGAGAGGGAAGGGGCTGTTTGGAAGTTGTCTAGAGTCCTTTGTTCTTCCTGAAAGGCATGCCCGCGAGGACAGCCATGTCACCAGAGCTGCCCAGCAGGCCTGGGGCAGGCAGGTGGGCAGCATCAGCCTCCGCTGGCCTTGCTGTCGTGCTTGAGGGGCCGTGGTGCTGAGAGCACGTGAGAAGGTTGCAGCCTGGGCTCATGCTGGCCTAGGGGCGAGGCAGGGTCACCAGACTGTACAACGGTGTCCCTCCCCCCAGCCGCAGCGCCCATCGTCACACCAGGTGTCATGGCAGAGAGTCTCCAAGCTCACCCTCTGTTTAAGGAGGAGTCTCACAAGAGCGCAGAGACTACAGAGGAGACGAGAACAGGGCATGGGAGGAAAAGTTAGCCTCTGAGTCCCTCCAGGAAACACCCCTGATATAGATCAGATGCTTAGATGTACATTAAGAAAGAAAGTTAAGAGAAGGAGTAAATGAAGGCAAAATATTTCATTTCCTGTTATTCTTAATCTGACAGATAACTTTTGTTCAGAGTGTCCATAGCAACAACATGATGGGTGCCTGTAGCTTATGGATAAGTGAGATGAGTAACAGCGACGTCAGGAGGGATGGGAGAGAGGAGCTGGGGACTCTGTCGCAGGGAACCTGCACTTCTGTGGAGGAATACAGTGCTACGTTGAGAGTGGACTTGGATCGGTGGTAAATATGTATTGCAAACTATGGCAACCACTAAAAAATTTTAAAATAATACACAGTTGACATGCTAATAATAGAGGAGAGAGAATGGAATCATATAAAATGCTCAATTAAACCAGAGAAGTCTACAGAAAAGAGGGAAAGACAAAAAAGACACAGGAAACAAAGGCAACAGATGGAGAAGGTACTGATAGGGAGCATCTTACTCCAACTCTATCACAGTTCACTTTAGATGTCAGTGGTACAAATATACCAGTTACAAGACAGAAACTGTCAGAGTGGTTAAAAAAAATAAGACCCAACTATGTGTTGTCTGCTAGAAACCCACTTAAAATACATAGACACATAAAGGTTAAAGGTCAAGGGGTGGAGAGAGATAGACCATGCTAATACTAATCAGAAGAACGCCAGAGTAGCAATGATAATTTCAGATACAGCAGACTTCAGAGCAAGGAGAGTTACCGGGGATAAAGGCTATTTATTACATAACAATAAAGGGGTCAAGTCTCTAAGAAGACATAATAGTTCTTCACGTGTACGCACCTAACAACAGAGCATCACAACACACAAGGGAAAAACAGAGAGCTTCCAGGAGAAATGGATGAATCCACTGTCACAGGTGGAGACTTCAGTGCCCCTCTCTCAGAGATGGACAGATCCAGCAGGCAGAGAATTGGTAAGGACATAGTTCAACTCAACAGCACCATCAACCAACGGAATTTAATTGACATTTATAGAATATTCTCTCCAACAGGAGCAGAACACACATTCTTCTCAAGTTCACATGGAACATTTACAATGGTAGACCACATTCTGGTCCATAAAATACTCCTCAACAAATTTAAAAGAACAGACATCATACAAAGTATACTCTTGGACCACAATGGAATTTAACTAGAAATCAGTAACAGAAAGATAGCTAGAAAATCCCAAAATACTTGTGTCAAAGTTCAGAAATAACAGAAGTAAAACCAATGAATCACTGAAGTGATAATTAGTAAAAGTTTGTTGTGCACACATCAACAAGACAGTTTGCAAACCCAAGCATTCCAACCAAAACATGGAGTGGGGCTCTGGGGTATATTGTTGTAAAACAGCTCAAGTGGTGTGGACACAGTGATTTTATTCTTCGCAGTGATTGGTTATGATATTAGAATTCTCTTAAATGATGGGAGTGGTTAGTGGTTACCTCATATCAACCTTGGGAAACAGATTTTTAGAGGCAAAGCAAGGAATGACCCAGTGTAAGTTAGCCTTGCAAAATAAGCTAATTTCACCTTTTGTTTGTATGACTAAACTGGCTTTGTCTGCTCAGGGAACTTTAAAGGCTGGTCTCTATTTGTTTTTTACTTTAACACTTGGATATGAAACAATACACTTCTTTTTTTTTTTTTTAAAGATTTTATTTATTTATTTGAGAGAGAGAGAATGAGAGACAGAGAGCAGGAGAGGGAGGAGGGTCAGAGGGAGAAGCAGGCTCCCTGCCGAGCAGGGAGCCCGATGCGGGACTCGATCGCGGGACTCCAGGATCATGACCTGAGCCGAAGGCAGTCGCTTAACCAACTGAGCCACCCAGGCGCCTGAAACAATACACTTCTAAATAACACATGAGTCAAAGAATAAGTCTTGAGAAATTTTAAAAATATTTTGAACTAAATGAAAATGAAATACAGCTTATCAAAATTTGTGGGATGTAGTGAAAGCAGTGCATTTGTAGCATCAAATGTATGTATTAGAAAAGAGGTTAAGATTTAAAATCAATAATCTAAGGTTCTGCCTTAGGAAGCTAGAAGAAGGGCAAAATAAATCCAAATCATAAGAAAAGAAATCGTAAAAATTAGAGCATAAATCAATG